ATTTTTCGCGACTTTTCCACTCATACGGGAGGAATTTCCCGAAATCCCGTCTTAACGTGCCGCTTCAACACATAAGGTAACTACAGTTAAAATTTCAGCCTCCTAGCTCTTACGGATTGGGCTGTGCGTTGACCAGCAGTCAATCAGTCAGTCAGTCTGCATAAACAATCTCTATATATAAAACTGTTTGTCCTGACTGACTGACTGACTGATTGGTGATCAACGCACAGCCCAAACCGTAAGAGCTAGGAAGCTGAAATTTTCACTGTAGCTACCTTATGTGTTGAAGCGGCACGTTAAGACGGGATTTCGGGAAATTCCTCCCGTGCTTATGTGCAAGTTAAGACGGGGTTTCGGGAAATTCCACCCGCAAGTGTGGAAAAATCGCGAAAAACGTTTGTATGTAACTTTTTTGTTCACCATCGGATCGGCCTCAAACTTATTTTCAAAGATCTTTGTTCAAATTCATTTGAGGGGTGTTTCACTCTTTTAGGAAAATCCATTCCTCCTTGGTGGAAATGGAGGTCAAAGATTTGGTGGATGACGTTTTGTGTTCAAATTCGTTTCCAAAGATCTATAAGAAAAATCATTTGAGACGTGTTTCTCACTTTTCGCAGAATCCAAACTTTTTCGGGCGGAATGTGACTCAAAGATTTTTTGTGCGAAGTTTTAAGTTGTGTCCGATTTGCTTCAAACTTATTTTCAAAGTATACGTGTTTCAGCGATTTGGGAAATTCCACTCGCAACATTGGTAAATTGGCGGAAAACGTTTCTATGAAAATTGTTTGTTTACCGTCCGATAAGTTTCAAAATCATTTTCAAAGCTTTTTGAGAACGTTGATTTTAAACATACGTTCCACGGGCAAGGCCGGGTTATACCCGCTAGTTTTATATATAGATATAAATAAATTTGATCGATTAAATTTGATATTAAATTCAAAAGAAATATTTGTGAACAATTTTAAGATTCAAATGGTTTTAAGTTCTACTAAAAGTTGAAGTTGAGTATAATAATTTAGAAAATAAATAACTGATCTTAAAATTTTTATTTTTAATTAATTAGCTCATCTCTAAGTCCTTAACTCGTATACTTGCATTGGCATAGTTTTAACATACCATATATTAACCAAAATAAACAGTTACGAATTTTATTTCCCCCACAAAGCCTGATTTTCAATTCAATTACAGGAACTTCGTAGTGTCAGCTTATCCTTATTTTCGCAATCTATATTTGAGCTCTATTTTTGGCACATAAACAACTTTACAAACTTTTATTTAGACAGCTTTAATTTAGCCAAGCCGCAAATCACATGGTCTATATATACTTACATACATATATGTATTTGTTCGCTAGCATAACCATTCCAATTACTATAAGAATAAAATAGAATCTAGAATCGGGTAAGGAAAATTTATTAAGTGATAAATTTCGGGCAATGCGCAAAATGTCAGCAAAAGGTCAATTGAAAAGTGAAAGCTCAAGAAAAGGATGCTAAGCGCCTTTTGGCACCCACACACACGTGCACACCCCCCCCACACACACACACACACACACACACACACACGCACACTCACACTCAATCAGTGTCCGTTGTCAGGCTAGCAAATGTCCGTCGTCATCCTTTGTCAATGGCCGTCCGTTTGGCTGGCAAAAAGGACGCACAAAACAAAAGCCGCTCAGAACAAATTACCAGAGTTGTCTTTTCTGCAAGTTTGCGGCTCCCATTTTTTGTATTTTGTTTTTTTTTTTGCTTACCCCTTTTACCAGTTTTGTCCTGGAACTATAGCTAGCATTTGCCAATTGCACTTTTCAACTGGCCCCATTTCGCCTGAGATCCTGACCAGCAACTGGCTGCTTAGATCCCTGACCGGGCACTTTAATATGAACGTTAGTTTTGCCATTCGCCCGCTGGTTTTCCCTGGTGGTAAATGTGTGTACAGCTGCGTGCAATGAACTGGGGAATTGGACAGACCCTTCCCTTGCGTGTGTGTGTGACTTAGTTGCAAGCAATACAGTTTGCTGCCAACTATTTGCCCACTTAAACATTTATGTAATAGGCTTGAAATTTTCCATTTGCCAGCCACAAAAGCTGACCAAATGTGTGCCATCCAGCCAACTCTCCTGGCTGCCTGCAGCAGCACCTGCTGCAACCGGCGGGCATTAAAAATTTAAATCGCTTACCATTTCCGTGCCCAACCGCAATGATGCTTGAGCAGCTCTCGGCCAGGACTCGTGTCGGTCATTGCGGTCCGCTTAGAGATGGCAGCCTGCACATGACGCAGCTGTTTTAATGTAGCAGAGCTTAGTTTTATATATGCAAATGATATACAAAATAAATACACATACTTATATATGCAAAGGTATAATAGTGAAATTTTCGTTTTAATATAAATTATTAAATTTAATATGCAAATAAGCTACTCAAAGTTGTTTACTCAAGTCATGCTACTTTTGTAAAGCTCTACACTAACAATAAAAATCAAAACACTTAAATAAAATATTTACAATGTATATGCATATACCTTTAAAGTTGTTCTTAATTTCAGAATGATAAAAAAGGGTATACTAGGGCAATTATGTTTATTAATTTAAATTATTAAGCTACTTAAAGTTGTCAGACTACTTCTGTAAAGCTCTACAAAAAAATAAAAATAAAAAATATAAAAAATTAACAGTTAAAATAAAATAATATCAATACTTGTGCATATACCTAAAAAAAATATATGTTAATTTTTTAATGAAAAGAAGGCTGATATTTAATGTCACTATTTCTGATTTTAATTTTTCTAGTTTTGTAAATAATTCCTTGTTTTATTAAAGGTTTTCAAAAAATAAGTTATATATATTTAAGGCCCTTAAAGCCCTTCATTTTTAGCCCTAAGTAAATGTTGGAAAAAAGCTTAGGATAATTAAGTTAATTCTCTTAGTGGCTCTTTAGGTCGATTTTCTTTTTCGGTAATTTTTAGCCCCAAATATGCATGTCTTTGAAAAACAAAGAACAGCACATCGGTCATTAGCACATTTCTGAAAAAAGATTCAAAACAAAAAGGTCGTCTTTTTAAGTCAATGACCGAATATTTTTAGAGCTTTTTTAGCCATTTTTGTTTTGATTGTACTAAAAGTTATTTGTGTTGGCTAGTTAACAGCTGTGCTGCGTTTTAAAAATCAACAAAGTGTTGTAAAACGCATTTAGATTGAACCAAACAAGAGCCAAAAACCACTCCAAACGTTAGCTCATATTTATTTGTTGGCAGCGTGTTTTTTTTGGACAGAAAACACACGAAACCGTGCTAAAATAAAGAAAAACAAAAACATAGTTGGCCACTCGTTATCAGAGGTTTTTTAGAACAAGTATGCATTTTGAACTTTTTGCAACACAGGCTGCTGCCAATTCTAACTGTCATTTGTACGACAAAATAAAACTATAAAGCGTTTCAAAATGTTATTTTAATTAATAGAGCTTTTTTGATTTTGATAAAAGTAGGAGACTTTGTAAAAGAAGCTAAAGTTTCAAAGTACAAATTTTTTGTGTGGCATGTGCCATATCTAAAGCCAGTTTGTCGTATTTCATTTAAGTAGCGCACTTTTTGGGGCAGCTGCTACTACGTTTATTTAAAATGCGTCGCTCGTTTCTTCGGCCCGAAATGACCAGGCCGAAGAACAGCTGGCACGTAGAGTCCGACACGAATTTTAAATTAAAATACTTTGCACTTGCACTTGCATTTAAGCCGAAATTAGGTTTTGCATTTCAGAAATGTTCACTCGACTGCCCCTTCAAAATGGCGCAACTTTCGTTATTAAAGTGCATTTCGGTTTCCACTGCTGTCCGGCGATGCCAGAAGGGTAAAAACCAAAAGCAAAAAGAGAACCACATACAGAGGAACTGTGTGCCACAGTGTTGCCAGAGCTGTAACAACTCCCACATCTATTTTAATACTGTTTGCCTTCCCTTGTTTTTTGAGTTTTGCAGGAGATTTACTTTTTTCCCTTTTTAATATGACTTCTTTGCCCTGAGCTCTGCAGTTGCAAGTTGCGGTTTGGTTGCACTTAAATTATTGCATTAAGGCAAAGTCCTTGAGCATTGGCATCAGCAGCTAAGTTTTTGGGGGGTGCGTTGCAATTAAATAATTTGCGGTCTAGAAACTTTTTGGATGCTTGAACAGAAATAAGTTAGCAATAAGTCAAAGTGAGGCACAAATTGCAGCAGCAGCAGCAGCTGAGAGTGCTCCGGCTTGCCTTTTGTTCTGTGGCAATTGAAAAACGACAATTAGCCTGGCCCAAAGAGGTCAGCCCTTTATCTGCAGATAGCATATCTCTAAAAAGGCCTACACAAAATGCCAGGCAATAAATCAATGACACTCACACAGGGACAGCGGCAATACGCACAGGACATGTACACCGACACGGACATGGGCTTTTGTCCCACAGCGTCAAGTGTTTGTTTTGCAGTTGACCAAAATGCCCAAAATGGTCAAAAATAAACAAAATTAACTAAACATCCAGTTTGAGTTGACAACAACAATGCAATTTGTGCACTCAGCTGATACACTAAATTAAAATGGGCAATTGCCTAAAGCTATGTAAAAAAATAACAAATGATGCATAAGCGGCATAAATATTATTGTTTTAACTGAAATTTAAGTTAATATTTCTACTAAAGATGTTAAACGGCAAATTTCATTATTATCAAATGTTAACGCTATGTTTAACAGCGCTGTCAGCTGTTAACTGCAGTGGCGCCACCTGTGCGTCGTTTGGAAAATGTTGCCAGACAGTTGAAATAAGTAAAACTTTCGTTAAAAGCGGCAAAGCTTGGTTGTTGCGCAAATAAATAAAAGCTTGTAATTTTAAGAAAAACTCCACAATTTTAAATTGTTCGAATTGAAAGTAGCAAATGCATGAATAAATAAATTGCATTTAATTTCAGTTATTGGCAGTGCAAAAAAAATTTCTACAATTTTCTGACTGTTTTTTTTTTGTTTTTATTGTTCACCCACATAATAATTTGTTTATTCAAATTAGAAAAATTTACGTTTACAATTAAATTTACATGTACAATTATTTACGCGACTTATGAAGATCATCAGCATCATCATATCAGATATCTACGTAAATGGAGAACGCTTCCTGCTTTATTTACACATTAACGCATATTTACATACATATATTTTGTTATTTTTATGGATTTTTTGTTGTTTATTTTTGCTACATTTTTGCAAATATGCGATTTTATGATGGAGCCATCTATATGGTATACATATGTTATGTGCATAATTTAATTTATATGAACAATTTACAGCTAGAGCTTATAATTACAATTTTATGTATATATATATATATATATATATAATTTGTATTTGCATTTGCATTTGCATTTGCATTTGTTAACAATGGTTTTATTTTCAAACAAATGTGTCGAATAGTTAATAATAATAATAGTTAATAAATAGATGTGCAGTTGATTTATGCTGAAGATTGAGAACGCAAAAAGGCTTGCACCGTGGCTCAGCCACATATTACAAAATGGAGAGCTGAACTAAACGCAGAGGTGCATTTGAAGAAACGATAAATCGATAAGTCGATTGGTCGCTAGATCAATAACATTGCAACAACATTTGGGGGCAGGGTGTGGTCTGTGACTCGTTTTAAAAACAACAACAACAGCGCAGCGCTGCTAATGCACAAAATCGTTGGGTATATAATGCTGCGGCTCAACAATCACACTCGTATAATGGGGCGTGGCAGCAACAGCTGCTGCCGCAACGGCATTTACGCTCTTAAAGCTCTCCGCAAAGTCGCTGACAACGCGCTGCTGCTGCTGCTGCTGCTGCTGTTGCTGTTGCTGTTGCTGCTGCTGCTGATGCATGCCATATTGTTGCTGCTGCTGATATTGCTGCTGTGCATGTTGCTGCAGTGGATGTTGCTGCTGTGCGTGCAGTTGCTGCTGCTGCTGCTGCAAATGCTGATGGTCCAGCAAATGTTGCTGCTGCTGCTGTTGCTGCTGCTGCTGGGAGCTGTTGTCGGAGAAGTAGCTGAGCTCGAAATTGTGACTCAGATCGCTGTAGGTGGTCTGCGAGGGCGAGGTGCCATTCACAATGGACGCATTGCCAGTAGACAGCTGGCGATCGCTCTCCGAGCTGCTCGAACAGCTATTCGAGTTGGCCGAAAAGGGTCGCATCATGGACGTGGCCACATCCACGGTGGCATCATAGTCATAATAATAATGATTGTTGTTGTTGTAGTAGAGGCTGCCCGTTGTCGTATCCGGATACTGCATTTCCGTCGAGTAAACGCCCGAGGATGAGGCCGATGCACTGGAGCCGCCGCCGGCGCTGGAAGCGGTGCCGCCGCCTGCACTGCTGCTCGAGCTAACCACCAGATCATGGAGCGGCGGATAGAGCTGAGTATAGCTGAGGCTGTCGTGATCCATGCTGCCCGCCTGCTGCTGATGCAGCGGGGCATGCTGCTGATGCCATCCGCCGGAGCTGCTGTTGTTGTTATTGTTGTTGTTATTATTGTTGTTTGTTGGCACCGGCGTGACCGCATTGGGCGGCGGCGGCTGCACCGCCAGCGGCAGCTCCGGCTCAAAGTAGGGATCCAGCTTGGGACTGACGCTCAGCGCGGGCGTGCTCGTAACCGGCTGCTGCGCCGCAACGCAGGTGGCGCCTATGCTGACAGAGGCCGCTGCTGCCGCCGCCGCTGCTGCTGCCGCTGCCGAAGCGGTGGCGGCCGCAGCGGCCACTGCCGCCGCCTGGGCCGCCGGTGAGATGGGCTCACGTTTAACCACGCCCGTTTGTATCTCGTTTAGCACCAAGTCTTTGACCTCTCTCTCGCTGAGCACATAGTTGACGCTCACGATGAAGACCTCGCGCGAGGATCGCGAATTGTGTACCAGTGTGGCATAGGATTGCACCCAGACCCAGCCGCCGCCTTTGGTCAGGAAGCGATAATATTTGGTGGTAACTTGTCCTTTGTACAGCACTGCAGTGGGAAATGAAGGAAGGGGAGGTGTTATACCGTTAGCTTAGTGCACAAGACTTTATTGTTATTGTTTTCTTACGGATTTGATGGGAGCAGCGCATGGCCATTATGTCCGCGGCATGGATGTACTGATAAAGCGTCTTCTCGATAAGGTCCTGCGGCTCGTAGCCGGTTAGCTGCGATACGCTGCAAGCAAATAAATAGTTAAAGCAATCAAAACAAAAATCATGAAACAAGTTGAGGTTATGTACACAGAGATTGAGGTTATGTACTCAAGTTACGCGTTATGTACATATTTTTTACTTTTTGTTGTTTTCTATACACTTGCCGAGGGTGTTAGAATTTTGACAGGAAATGTGCAGGCGTTGAAGGGTACATCTGCTATCCCATATGGTACGTCTACTCTTGAGTTCTTTCAGTTTTAGAGGTTTGTAAACATATTTAAAAATCTTTGCATAAAACCCTTTTTTGCTGTATACTGATTTCGGTATCAACAGGATCGAATTTCTATATCATAAAACTATTATATGCATATTCCGTTTAAAAAAGATTTTGGTTTTTCCAGGGTATTTAAACTTCGACAACCCGAAGATAAACACTTTTTGTTTCATATTTTATTTAAACAAATGGTGTTGTTGCCTTTGTGTGTTGGTCGGTTTACTTTTGTCAACTTCAATTCAATTATGCAGCAACAACAACAGCTATCGCACACACACACACACCGACAGACACACACACACACACAAAAGGGCTGCCTTACACTGTGGGGGTTGGTCTATACGATATCATTCAACTCGAGCGGAAAAGAGACGGAAGATTGCTGCCGCGGCTCATGGCTGAACATCATGAGGGTAATTGAGTGACAATAATGTCAGACAAAGTGGTCGGGCTGGAGGGCAGGGCAGCTGGTTGCGCCGTATAGGCAAAGGCACTTAAAGGCAACCGCCTTCTGCTTAGGCTGGCCCGCCCCGCCCCCCACCCAGTTTGGGGCAAGACACACAAAGCAAAATCAAGCTCAAGAGGGAAATGATTTGTTTTCCTTTTTGCCAGAGCGGCCCCTCGTCTTGCTTAGATTCATTTCTTTTTGTTATAGATGTTTTTTGTTTTTTTGTACGTTATCTCTTTTGGGGGATGTTCCAGGGGATGTATTTGTTGTTTTTTAACAGATTCTTTTTTGCTTCTGTTGCGACCCGTTTAAATATTTGTCTAGTGTTGCTTTCGCTCTGAGGGAAATTGAGCCTTTTTTATGGCCTGGTTACAGAGAAGGCAAGCTTTTCTTTAACTAAGGTCCCCATTTTCGCTGTTTATGATCGACTATTTAAAAAAAAAAAAAGAATTGTTTGTCAGTCTATAAAATTAATTAGTTACACGATCCTGGCGAGAACCTACACACATGTATTTAATATGGTCACTGAACGTTATTCTTAGAGCTTTCTTTCATATATTTAGAGGAAGAAGTCTCTGGACTCTAACTTACCGTGCATCGAAAAAGATGAGCTTCATGTCAAGTTTGGCGCGAAACATAAACATATTCTGATGCAGTTTGATTTCCGTAATGGCAGATGAAGGCAGCGAGTGACCGACGGCAACCAGGCCGAGATTCTGTATAAGGCTGCCCTGTCCATCACCACAGTCCGGATAAATACGCGCCTTCAAATAGCCGGAACAGTGTATCACCTGAGCAAAAAATAAATCAATATTACGTACAACCGAAGGAAAAGGAAATTGGAAGCCGGAACTCACCTTAAAGCCGGAGGTTGTGAGACCCGCATTGCGCTTGGCCAAAACACATTTCATGCGCAGGAAGAAGGTCTTCTCGATCTCGATCGTATGGGAGCCGCGATCGTGGCCATATGCCGCCGGATGCTGCACCCCATTCGGACTGCCAATGGGCGTGTGCGTCTGGGCGAGCTGTAGGGAATTGAGAAAGGCATAAGTAAAACTGACAATGAAAGAGAAACAGATTGACCTCAAGAGAGAGACAGAACGAGGGAGAGGCTACTTACTGGATGCTGATGCATGTGCGGGTGCAAGGACAATATGGCATTCATCTCATCCTGATCGTAGCTGTGTATATACTCGAATATGGAGTTGCCCGTCAGCTCGACCTGCGTGAGTAGAGAAATCAAACAAATTAATGCCAGCTCCTGCCTCCCAAGTGCCAATTAGTGCGCACTGCAAATGCAAATTCCGGGCCCGTGTCCGTGCGCCATTTGACGCCCACGCGGCTGCTCCTTGACTTGCAAATGCAAGTGGCCCGGGCACAGAAAGGACATTCACAACGGAATTTATGCGCATAAATCAAGCGATTCCTGCCAAGCAAACACACCCACCTGACTGAGACCCAAATGCACCGAGGCTGTCTCCGAGATGTACATGATTTTGCCATCCGGTGCCACCACAAAGATGAAGCCGTCCAGTGTCTGCAGCAGATGTGAGCCCAACTCCTTGATGGTCGCGCCGCGCTGCATCGCTGGCGTGGAGCCCCAAGCTTCACCGAGTCCTGCAAAGAGGATATTGGTTGGTTGTTGTTAATTAATAAGATATATTACAATATTTAAAAATAATTTGGTAATCAATTTCTTAAGCAATATAAATGTATTTAAATTATTTTAATATATTTATATTATTTTCAAAATAATATTAAAATTTATTGAATAAATTTAATAAAATCTTTAAAAAACAAATTTTTAATTTTTCTATATGTATATTTTACACTTTATTTATTTTACTATTTTCTTTTGTATGTATATTTTACACACACTTTATTTATTTCACTATATTATTTTTATATTTTTATTTTCGAGGTATTTATTTATTTTTGGATATATTATATTTATTAATTAAATTAAAATTAAGAACGTACTTCGGGTGGAACCGACTGCGAAATACTCTGCTCAATGTGTTAATTGCAGCTACAAACGGATCGAAAACGAACTTTTTGATTACAATCAAATTTAAATATCATGGTTTAATGAATAATAAAAAATAATTAATAATTATTATTATTAATTTATTATTAACTTTAGCGAAAAACTGTAACAACAAGGCATTGATTTTCAAACTGTGCGGAGGAAACTTGAGGATATATATATATATGTTCCTGGCGAGGCTTCTATACATATTTAAGCTTAAGCATTCAGGGAAGTCATCAGAAATATATATGTCAAATTTGTATACTCTAATGATAAAGATATTAATGTTTGCGAAAACTCAGCAAACATTTGAACATCGAACATTGAACGAAAACTAACATCGAAAACAAATTTGAGTTTATACGAGCAGACGCACGAACAGCAAGACGAACCAGGCAATGTACTCTGATTCGCTTTGTAGACAGTATATAAAAACAAAAATGTTTAATCTGTAATGTTATAATATAATCAACATTTTAAATGTAGCAATAAGAATTTGCCCTGTAGTTTGTTAGGTTATATATCTATAGTGTAATAATATAAATAATAAAAATATATTACACTTTAGAACACTTTAAAATTTCAACTTAGCTGTAACATTTAGAACTAGCTAGTAAATTTCCTGTATGCAAGGTTAATCTATAATCACTAACTACATACATATATATATATATATATATATATATTGTATATACATATGGTTAGTACTATAATGTAATAATATAAACACTTTAAAATGTACAACTTGGATTTAAAATTTGCAACTAGTTTGTATCTTTGACATGTTGTTTGTAAGGTTAAACTAAAATATAGGAAATATAATAAACATAACAAATTGATTTTTATAAAATTTTTAAATTTTAAAATTTACAACTTGGTGTGAAATTTGCAACTTGCAATTTGCAATTTGATCGTTGATCGGTTAACACTTATTTCCAGCTACTGTTAGGACCATTCACTGCTCTAGAATTGCCGCTCAACAAACTTTCCCATGGCCTCTTTTAACAGACTGTCAACTAAGTCTGTGCGGCACACGCCCAGACGCCCCCCACATTGCCCACACAGTTGACGTCTAAATATTATTCCCAATTAAAGTCATCAGCGCCGTAGGTGGCCCATTCACAGCCCCGGCCAGGCACAACCAGGCGATATTCATTGCATTCTCATGTCATCTCCTGGCTCCTTGATTCTGTTGTTGTTGTTGGCTTGTTCCTGGGCACATTGTGCGCACACTTCCTTGCTCGTTGTTTGTTGCCTATTATTAAAATAATTATTTCAATAAAGCCCAGCAAAAAAACAGAAAAGAGAAAAGCACAAAACGCTGCGCACAATGGAACAACAGAAACAACAACAACAACAATCGCCCCAACCCTTACCTAGGGCCTTGTGTGCAACCCTCGTAGTCAGCACAAAATCTCAGTGTCGCACACACACAACCACCCACCCACCCACACATACACACACACACACAGTGATACATGCCACCCAGCGCCACCCACTGGGCATCCACTTCCAGTGAACGTCTCGTCGCTCTCTCGCTGCTCGCTGCTTTTTGAGTGGAAACAACAGGCCGCCATTGTGTTTTCCTGACTGCAACCAGCTTCCCACCCACACACCCCCATGCCCCCCTAGCTGAGGTCCACACCCAGCCCCCCACCTGGTTGTTTATTGTCTGCGCATTGTTGAGTGGTTTTTCCTTTAAGCATATGCTTTAAACAAACATTTCGCCTTTTAAACTTGAAAATTTTGGTCGTCTTGTTATTTTTGCGCCGCGTTAAATTAACAAAGGCCGTGCGGCAATATCCTGCTGTGACCTGCCAGGACATGTGTATATATGTGTGTATGTGTGTGTGTCAAAGCGTAATGAGCGTGCCGGCCGCGTGGCTGTCACCGGATTCCGGATCATTTGACACGTAATTCACACGCCGCACACAGATGAAAAGCCAACAACAGCAAATCGAGCGGCACATTTAATTGAACTAATTGGCATTTGTGTAGATCTGTGTGCGCTAAAAGTATTGAGTGCCAAACTTTGGCGGACTTGGCCCACTTACCATCCGGAAAAACTTGGCGCATTTTCAAATAGGATGTGGTCAAACGTATGACGGATGCCTTGTCCAGCTGTGATGTAATCGCCGCTGGCAATGGCAATAATTTGGCCAATTCACAGAATTCCGTGTTTTCCTTTTCACGACGCGTGCGTGCCGCATTTTTGCTTTTCTCCTTCATGGCACACGTTTTGGCTATATCTGCAAGGAATATCGAGAAAAATATGCACCATTTTAGTATAACCAATAACCAAAGAAGATATTATAAGAAATTCGGCTGTGCGGATGTTTGTAACAGGCAAGAGACGTCTCCCACCCATACAAAAAAAAATATATATATAAATATATATATATATATATATATATATATATATATATATCCTATTTATTATCAGTATCAACGCCAAGTCGCCATTTCAAATATTATAATAATAACTATCTTGAGTATCAAAAAAATGTTCAGAAAATTTATAAAGAAAAATATTCAGAAAAATATAAATAAAAGTAAAGAATATGCACAAAATTCTGAAATTAGTAAAAATATAATACTTTTTCCAAAATTAAGGATACAAAACTCTTAAATAGAATATAATTAAATAAAAAATATAGGAAAAATTTCTAATATTAGCATAAAATGGAATATGTTTTCCAAAATGTTGTATAATTTTTGAGTGTACATATGCCAAATTCGTTTTAATCGAACCACTATATTATGTAGCTCGCATAGGAATAATCTGTCAAACAAATAGTTATATTAAAACTTCTCTTGTAGAATCCTAGCCAAACTGTGCGATATTGAACTTCTTAAAATTTCCAAAGCTTGGACAAAATCCATTGAGTATTAATTCTTGTTACTAAATAGGTTAAATCTAACCAACATTGGACTATGATGATATAATATATGCTAATCCCACAGGAAGCAACGCTTAAAAATTGACCTCTTTTATGAACAACTATATTAGCTTTTTCTAGATAACTTCAACAGACATTCCAATTAGAAGCTCTATTGTGATTATTACAATATGACAAAAACATATCCATATCGAAAAACTATATCTTATAGAATCCATGGGATTCAAAAATGGTTTTTTATGTATGCAACGTGATTGTTTAAAAAAAAAATCATAGCCAAACGCAACAAATAAGATCCTCGTTATACATCTAGCATGTGAACAATATATCTTCAATATCGGGCAACTATATCATATAACTTATTTGGGAACAATCGCTCGGAAATTGAGCTTTTTATAAAAAAAAACGTGGTTTACAGAGATAACATATATCGCAAAGCTAACGAGAAATCGGCTATGAATAACATATAATAATAATCTCACAAAGCTGCTTTACATATGCTAGAGTATTTGAAATTCGGCAAACCGAATGTTTGTTTATTTTTGTTCTTATTTTCCAAGGAACACAAACCATGCAATCGGCTCTCATAGCAATCCTTGCGCACACGACGATGGTTCGTCATTTTGTTAAATTTGTTCAAGCACACAAAATACGTGTAAATTCTTTTTATATTTTATAGATCCTTGCCGAAACACTCCGCAGCACTTGCTCATAGCACGACGATCACCTGTTTGCGACTGAGCGCACTTCGTCCTGTGCAGTCAGTTTTAAGAGAGATTCTCTCAGGATCCGACTACCTGCCTATGTGGTACCAAAAACTGTAGCAGCCATTGGCCAGCTTAGTGGGCACAGGTAATAGACTGTGTGCCTGGGATTCAGACCAATTGACTTTTTGGCCATGTTACCAATTTCCATTGATGCTCAATGGCAACCGGAACTGCTGGGCGGGTGCCTCTGTGTGTGTATGTATGTTAGCAACAGGTTGACAGCGACAGCCGCAGCAGTTTTGACTTTTGTACATAATGTAAAACACCTATTTTTGCAAACCCCACACAGCCCTTAGATATATATGTGTGTGTGTTTGTGCAGTTCGTTACGGTCAGGGGCAGTTTTGCTTTTTTTGGCCGAATTTTGAACGTTGCCTTCTTTGCCATTGATAAAATAGTTTCGAACGTGACGTTGGCGCAGTTTTTGGCAAGAATTCATGGCATGGCTCCTGCTGATTTTTTGGCCAACCATCGCTCACCCTCACACCTACATTTGTATCTATGAGTTGGCTATTTAGCAGCAAGCAATGCAAGAATTCGCACGTAATTACAAGCTTATTGACATAGGTCACGTAGTTGACCAGACATGAATGAAATATCTAGATAGATATATGTATGTTAATCTGTATATATGTATGCCAGCTATAAGTCGCAGATGATATACAATTTTGGTTTATGGCAATCAATTTTATGCTATGCCAAAAGTTACTGTAAGGGCAGAGTAAGAAACAAAAATGTTGAGAAAAATGTGCATCTTTTGCACGCCGAAGCATAAATACCCTTGCAGACATGTGGCTGTACATTACTTTTATATGGAATTTTATTTCCGATCAATTGCTGTCATACAATTTATTTTTAAATGGGTTTTTAATTATGTGAGAATAGTGAGCATTTTATGTGAGAACTTCATTTATGCGATTCTTCCCATTGAAATTTGATGATATACTAATTCGTTATTTATAAGAATTCGGTCATGCGTTTTAATGAAACTCTTTACTGCAGAGTTTGAAAAGGAGTTTTTTAAACAAAAAACATTGGTTTTACTACAACAACTTTTTTGACGGGCTATTCCCATTATAGCTATATAATATAGTGGCTCGATTCGAACGACTCCGCCTTATGTTCACCCAAACAAATGTTTACCCTACATTTTAGAAAAGCGACATCAAATCTGTACCATCCCATGACAACATTATTCATACAAAATGTCAGTTTCGACCAATTCTTCCTATTTAGCTATATGTGAATAAGCGTTAAATCTGCCCGATTTCGACATATGTACTGCCTGCAAGCAGCGAAAGGGGCACAACTCGGCTATTGTTACTAATCAAGAATGTATATACATGTACTTTATAGGCGTCACATTGCATGCCAATATGACAGCACCCTCTAAAAGGGCATTTAAATGGGACATTTGTCAAAAGTCGCTCAGCTGCCATGACGGGGACCGGGTCCTGTGCCAAATCGCAAGCAAACGCCGCGCACACGAGAGAGGTATGTATATCGACAGGAGCAACAGATTTGCTAAATGATCATAATCCTAAAGAGCAGCGAGCCGCTAATCCGCAACTCAAATGTGACAACATGCGCGTCTGAAGTGCCGCCGAGGTCGTTCATATCCGGCGTGGTTATGCTTCTTGTTGTTGTTGCTGTTGTTGTTGTTGTTGTTGTTGTTGTTGCGCGGAAGTTTTCATGCGGCAGGGTATTCATAGTTGACCGCGGCAGTTACTAAATACCAACCCGTGGTAGGGAAGTTTTTGTGAACAGCTATTGTAATACGCATAGAAGTTAGCTAATGATAGTTTATGGCCTCTAAGTGGGTCAAAATGGTTCAGAATATGTACATATTATATATATTCATATAGTGCAGGCATAAATTGGTATCACATAATTCAATCGTAGCATATTTCTAATATGCCTAATGAAAACGAGCGGAAATAAGACAAATTCCCATAAAACATAAGAAGCAGAAAAAAAATAATGCAAGTCAGAGCATTTTATGTGTACAATAAATGGAATTGATTAGGAAAAAATGTAATTGAACACCCAAATCAGTTAATACCCTTACCTACAATGTGTCGCGCGATAATTTTTCTAACACCATTTTGGTAGACATCATTTAAATTTTACAAGTAAAAAGTTATTTAAAAATCGAGTAATTTTTAGGAGAAATAAATACAGAAATAAGATTTAAATCTATCTAGCTAGACTAGCTAGTCTAGTCTAACCTTTAGCAAGAACTGAACATTTTTATACAACTTTTACTTTCAAAATTTACATAAAACTAAAACTGAAAACTATAATTTACTGTTTCAAATGTGGAATTTTCGATAAAAATGCATAAGGCATTAAGTAAATTTATATTAAAGCTAAATGTCATGCAATTTTCAATTCATAAATCCTTTTTTTTTTAAATTTGAAATAATAAATCAATTAATTAATAAAAGCGCAGTCTGTACATTTTAATTAATAATAAATTAAAACTTTGAATTTAGATAAAGCTAACATATTATTTTGAATTTATAACATATTTAAAAAAAAAACTTAATTAATAGATAAATTAATTAATAAAAACTCAGTCTGCGAAAAAAGTACTACTTTCTTAATTATGAACATATCCACAAAAATCGAATGTCCTTCATGCTACTCAGAAGTCAGGCAAACATAAATATGTTATGTCAAGTTACACTCTTGTATTTCTTTATTCCTTTTTCAGGCGCAATATTATAATTGTATTTTAATGTGGCAAAAATTTATTTCGATAAATATTAAATTTGACTTAAATTTACATTTAATATCTACAACATGTTTCTCAAATATATATTTGATTGGCGCTGCAATCAAAAGCCAAGACACAAATAATTTCCATAAGTTGGATGATAAAATTTCTAGATTTCCGATAATTTTTGATCATCCCTGTCAATATATTTTCACAACTGTGATTTAGGCTAATTTCACTAGCGTCCACTTTTATTATTATTTAAAAAAAAAGTAGTTTTTTCCCGTTTCATTTTTAGAGTTTATTAGAATTTATTGGTGTGAAATTTAGAAATAATATTTCCCTATTTGATCAATATTTCCTTCTGCTTTTAAAAAACAAATTTGTAGCTGAAAAATATTTATTTCATTTCAGCAAATAAAACCATTCAGGAACCTATTTTCTTATAAGGCGAACTAACAAAGGCAAACTTCTGATTTTCCGGACAAAATAGAACTCCTAATTTGTTGAGTGTACTCTTTCTTAGTCTTATGTGCCGTGGTCTATAGAGCATGCTTCACTGGCAGCACCGCAAAGTAATGTCGCTCTTCCGGGAAAGAGCATAAAACCAACAAACAGACACACGGAGTCGCTTCACGCTTCTGGCGCTGCTTAGCCGAAGCTTGACCTTAATCTTGTTAAAGGCAAATGCCCAAAACAAATAGAAAAGTTTAAAAATAAATCTGAGCACTGAACTTGAACTAGCCGCTGTGGCGAGAGAGAAAGAGGTTTAGGGAAAGAGAAAAGCGGCGTAGGAGTTGCCCGTTCGGCGACAGGTAAACATGCAAAAAAGATTCCCACGCTGCCAAAAAAAAACAAATATA